AAGAACCGGTATTGTAGACAAATCGTAGTTTTGGAAACTTCGGTTTTGAGCGTATCTCAATCGGGTGACATGGACGCTTCGATAGATCTAACAATCGGTTGTTTGACCGAAGTGAATATACTACTGATTAATCAGCTGATCCATGGTTTACATAAACCTACAATCAAATCAAATTATTATTTTGTCCTGTAAGCTAAACAATTTTAAAATTATATTGATTGTAATTGGACTTTTCAAATTTATATACTATGTTTATTTCACAGAATATAGTAAATAATAATGATGCTTTATTGATGAAAGTCTATCTATGTTTAACTGATCTTTCTGCAAATTACGTTACAACACTCAACATTCAAAAACGTACATGACAACTTTGAGACACCGATAAACAAACGACCACACTGAGTCGTTAGATATTGTTCAGTATCAAAGACTTGACTACACTATATTGGATACGTTAATACTTGTGGCCTGTGTGCCCTGCTAATGTATAACGTAAGGATACCGCCAATTAGAGAGCAGTGAATTATCGATCGGTCTAATGATGCATAAGACCCGTGCGAACAGTCTAGAGTATTTATCGGTCCCGCCCGTTAAGTCAAGAACACAAATCTCAGCCTCTGCAATATGAATCACTTATTTCAAACATAGTCGGTTTATAAACCAACCAGAGAGACTACATCGTACCATAAAATAGGAAACAACATTTGTACAAGATTTATCCAAATGTGGTTGTGAATAAGGGAGATAGTGATAGGTGGAGTCCAATCCGTGTCGGGTATGAGGCAGTTACCTAGTTGAAACAATGAATGAAGAATTGCGCAAGATCATGGATCGATTGAAGTTAGACATTAACATCGTTGGATACCGGCTCAATGGTCTAGAGATTAAGTGTTTACGCACGAGATCGAAGGTCCAGAGTTTGAGTACCGCTTACGGCATCATGAGTGGTCACTGCTGAGGAGTCCCATACTAGAACGAAACGGTCATTCAGGGATTCCAGGTTTTTAATAGTGGTCTAGCTTAGATTGACTTTTGTGTTCAACTTTGAAAATGAATAAACGATACATGCTTGATAAAAAATTAGTTTCAATGTGATGTTTTTGAGAATTCTGGTTGAGCATTATGAGTCAGTCAGTCAGTCAATCAGTCAGTCCGTCAGTCAGTCAGTCAGTCAGTCAGCTACAACGTAGGACCAGGCACATATGTGCATCGGTTCAAGTCACCTCTTAGTTGAATGGCTTAATAGTGAGGTCTTCGTTGTTCTTTTGAATGACATCGTCAACTCGTCCTATCAACTTTGATCTATGTTCACTATTGTTAACCTGCCTGGCATTTGACCATATTATTTCTTTATAAGGCTTATCGGAAAATTTGTGCGATTTTATGTAAGAATATCTCATGTTCAGCAGATTTAATCCATGTGTTTATTATTTAACGTTTGTAACTACCTGATTTATGCGTTTCTAATATGTTGATTATAGTTACGACATCATAGTTTGCTTTAGAATGCTATCCAATGTATTGCTCTTCAGAATAATAAATGATCATTCAAGATCTGAATCAATGAAGTATCAAAAAGTTCTTCAGAAAATCACTAACACTCCAATGAAACACATGGATTACTGTGTTCTGTATTGTCAACAGCTATTATGAAGACTTCGTTAGGACTATTAATTCCTTTTAGTCAGTACGTTTTATATGATTTTGGTATAAACAAGTGACAAAGCAAAGAATATTAGATTAGCCGTTTTATCCAGTAAATACTAAACAGTACGAAAACACTTGTGATATTATAACATTTCATGTTTAATGTCATTTCGTTATTCAAATAGATAAACAATAGTAGCCGTGTTCACACCAAGTAAATCAATATTGAATACATTCAGTATAATCAACATTAAGTAATTGGATTCTTCTATAAAACACAATGAATCGATATTTACTCCACCTATAACCAAATATACGAACAAGGGTGTTCCGAATGTTTTTAAATTAAAATGATACCTGTGCAAAAGCATTTGAACTGAATAAGTTGATTCATTAGTCCTCATAAAAGCTTGTGAGTAGTTAATACTAAGTTAGAACTGGCAGGACAGATAATAAAACGAAAATTGAGATATCTTATTGCTTGACTCAACAAAATGAAATCTGAACACAGCTTAGGTCATTTTTATAAGATAAAACCAACCAATCATAGGATGAATTAAAGTATCAAAAGAAACACAAGATATCAGTCCTGGAGTAAATATCAACTCTGGGATGCAGGTACATCCAGTCGACGAGTTTCAAGTAGGACGAAACGCCCATCAAACTGGATTCCATTGCTAGCCACCATTAATCCAAACTTATGATGCTTGTGACTTAAGGCAATATCGAGGCGATCCGTACAAGATGTACATATACCAGTAAGAGACTGATCAATTTCAGTCCTAAACATCAATGGGAAGATTCAAACAAATAACACAAAATGAATGTTCAAATTGACGGTAATCCTATGTACTAAATAAAAATGTGATAAGAAACAGTAAACACAATATTTAAATCAATTAGCATAATGTTAATTACTGATTATGACAAAAGACTCATTGACAATCTAATTGTTGATTATGAATGCTATACAGTTACACTGAACCAGAATGAAATAAGTAATATACGAACATCTATTAAATTCCTTCATAATTAGTTAAAACAGAATATAGAGATTAATTTTCAACTCAGTGTGTGTGAATCCATATTGTCATTTCTCAAATGCAGCCAATCGTACTACCAATGTACTACTCTACTTATCAAGACATGATATACAGGATAATTTTCTGCAATTGATTATATGAGTTTCGAAATTAATGCTCATTCATATGTATTTTCAAACTTTCTCTACATCATTCAATCACAGATCATCAAATAATGCCTATAAAAATTTTGTTTAATAGTTGAATTCATGAGCCAATTGAAGCTAGATCACCATGGAAAACCTGGAAGCACTGGACGGCCGTTTCGTCCTATTGTGAGACTCCTCAGCAGTGCGCGTACAAGATCACGCCTCACAAGATTCAAACACAGGGCCTATCGGTCTAGCGCGCGAACGCTTAACCTCTGAGTCGGCATCGAACAGTGTTAATGTCTAACTTCAACGAATCTAGGAAATTGCGCGACCGTCCACCATTGTCTTCAGTGAGTTACCATTTCACAACAGACAAAGTTGAAATCCACTGGCTTTTCACTAGAACTTCAAGAAATACATCTTGAAGCCGGTCATTACTAGCGAGCACATGATATTTATTATTAGATTGGGTGTTTTTGTGGAGCAGGATGGTAACGTCATGGAGCTTTTATCGTTTTTCTGAACGATATCATCAAAATAAACTCAGGTCAGAGAACAAAACTCTATCAAAATCATATGTCCTTACGGATCTAATATTTAAAAAATTTCTTTTCAGATATGTATTCATAATTGTACAAATTGATTATAAATTTGTTAAAGAGGGATCTTCTTGTTGACCTTTGTGTTTTAAATGTTTAAATAGGTATTATATGTCGACTGAAGAAATGCAATGATCCTATGATGATGAAGGAACTCAATGAGATTTTTTTCAATGTAACACAGACAAACTTACCTTAGTGAAATGTGAGATCAACTTTTCTTCGAAAGTTGTATCAAAAGTAATGAGTATTCTCAACGTTCCTGAAAGGCACTAAGGCGAAGTCATATTTATCTCAATGCTAAAACCATCGAACTTTATGCACTTGATTGTATGGATGCTATTAAATCTCGAGAGAAAGCAACATACCTAGTATTCCTTGGTAACCAGTTTTCTTTAAACAAGATGCTGTTAATTCAAGAGGATGTTACCAAGTTTACAAGCCATAATGAGAAGATAAAACAGCACAAATCGAAAAAATATATCTCAGGTAACTAATGTTATTAAAAATATGAAGAACAAAGGGATAATAAACCCAGACTTATGGCATAACATACGTCTAGTGGGTTCGATCCTTCCGCGTTTATTTGAATTATAGAAAGTATATAAACCTCGGTTACCGTGAAGAACTATTTTGGATAATTCTAGTTAGCCCTACCACTGAATCACCAAAATATCTGGCTGAAAAATTGCAATCTCTTAGAAGACAAGTACCTAAATATTCTGTTCATGATAATTTTCAATTTCTTGATAGTATTAAGGATAACAGCACTTCCGGAAAGAACATAGACTGAAAACTACTATCCAAATCGTTTCATAGAGAATAACATGAAAAGAAGTCGGAACAAGGAATCTGGTAATTACCTTTCAAAAAATGAATCTGGAATTCAAAGGTGATCAAATTACTGATCTATCTAAAGTCGGTTAACAATAATGTTTCCTTACATGACGAAAGTCAGTCAATTCATTTGGTTTCGCACAAATTAAACAATCAACTAAGTAAACAATAATGACAATTCTGTGTATAGACTTCGATCTAATATATTTTACATTTAGGTAAAAGACTACTAATGAGTAGCTAAAATATTCTCACTAACGTCTGTGGGACTCAATTATCAAATCTGATGAAATGGTAGGAAGTGGGATTTTGAGAATCAACACACAATCAGCAAATTCATTATCTTAACCTAAACAATTGTACTTGATTAAATGTCAAATATAAATGTTCACCTAAAAAGAATGTTACATAATTATCGAACCATTATGTAAGAGACATAGCTTTCAATTCAAGAGGTCATCACTAAAATCATAGTTATTCAACGTATTTTGTAAGCGTTTAGCTTCTTGACAGAGTTTTGTTCTCGAACGCTTCACTTCCATATGAACTTTGTACTGATGATGTCGTCCAGAAGAACGATCAAAGCTCCAACATCAAACCATTCAGCTCAGAGAACAAAACTCCATCAAAATCATCCACCTGAGCTACAAATCTTCTCTTCGCCTTTAGCTTCAAAATCACTCACTTCGAAAATTCTCAAACTATTCGCTGTTAAATAGTTAAAACAAAACTAGACGAAATAATGATCGATTACTTAAAGAATTTATTTGCAGGTTCAAGTATAAATGAAGGTTCATTCAGTAGGTATCAATTACAAAGGTTTGATTTGTTAAATTCCAATTACAGATATATTATTTTATTTACAGATTGATTCAGTTCAAGATTATTGGCGAATGTAAAAAAGAACATGAAGCGAAGTCAATATGGAGAGGAAGCAAAAGATTTGGGTATGTTACACAGTCAAACATAGTAGAAAGCAACTGCGTTAATATTGTCAATATTCACAATTCATAGATTCCAACGTAATTTCCGACCATTACATCCATCATTCCACCATCGTGCCACACTCGGAACCCAATATGGACCAAATGAATGAGATGTATGAGCTAGTAGACACATTGCACATTGAGGTTGTGAATCCCGATCATGTATGATTCCATGATCATGCCATGCAAAATATTCATTATATGCAGTATCGTTCTTGTCCAAATACTTCAAATAGTCTGCCAGTTTAGCTGGTGATTCGAATTGATCAACGTGAATGAACGAGTATGGAGGAGCGACTCTTTCATATTCCTCTATCGATGCACCCATCACAATTGGAAGTAGATCGTTTCTTGAAATGAATAAAAAGTATGATAATCCGTCAAACATTGATCTAAACATCAATTTACAGTTTATTCAACAACAACAAATTGCATATTCAGTAGAAAATAGAATTCATGATATCAGCACTTTGGTAAAAATAATGTCACATAACAATCATGAAAAATATAACCTTTTCCTCAAAAGGTCTGGAGATTACGCAAACCAACAGGGTCACACTAGTCTGGTTGTCTGTTAAGTGTTGAATCCTAATGCTCAAACTAGCCGAAAAATAAGCTATTAAAAACTACCAGTTTAAATTGCAGATATCATTTAGTACTCCTCCTATGGAACCACTTTTATAGGTGATATGATGACGCAAAATCGGGCCTGACAATACGATCGTTATTGGTTGAAGTTTCAGTGGTCCACGGCTTAAGCACATCAGTTATTATTTTTCAAGAATTCCGTCCTTCTGCATAGTGGTATTATCTTTGATATAAAGTCAACTAGGGTTTAAGTGAGTAATAATATGGCCTTTTCAGAAGCCATCGCATCGCTACATCGTCTCACTGCGGCCATCCGGGAATTTACTCACCGATCTCAACAACCAAAGATTCGCTCCTCAAATCATTGGAAACCTTTCCAATATCAGCGACATAGGGATCAAAATTGTCTGTCAAAATATCAATTCCTACAGATCAATGGAATTTATTATGCATGCAGTTATTGATGTTCTAGATAGAAAATATTGAAATACTTTTTAATGAATTAAAAATGTGGACAATACTCACGCGGTATTGAATCAGAATGAAATACAGTACAGTGGGAATGATGAGTTATGGATGGAGATCAATGTTCATGCAATAATGTAGTGGTCAAAGTCAATGATATATACATAACAAAGTCTATGGACAGTATTGAAGTCATTGCCAATTCGAACTCAGTCAGAATTTCCTAGAAAATTTCTTCAATTTCAAGACCAGAACCTTCAATTTTGGTTAAACGACTTTGAAATGACTTTACGATATATATGTCAAATCAATTCTCACTAGCTGCACATCAAATTATCTTGTAACAACCATTGATGATTTCAGTTATAGAACATTAATACTTCAGATACACATGGCTTTATCAATCACACCGTAGACCCAATGCTCAACTTAAAGAGAATTAAAGTGAATTCTTTCACATTAATCATTAATTGAATTTATTTATTTTTTCCCGATTTTCACCCATTATTTCATCCATTCATTTATAAAAGTGATTCTACTTTGTTCTGTTCTATAATAAAACATGTTTATTAATGATAAATTTGTGGATCGGTTGAAGCTAGACATCAACACAGTTGGATACCGGCTAAATGGTTTGCAGGTTAAAAGTTCGCGCGTGAGACCGAAGTTCATGGGTTCGAGTCCCATGTGCGGAATCGTGGAAAGTTCCGTACTAGGACGAAACGACTGCCTGGATTGATCGATTCATGATCTCAATCAATAATTCATCAATCTTCACGAGCTCATACTTGTAAAAATTATTGGAAATGAACTCACAAGAGAAACGGATTCTGTGACTAAATCAATTATCTCTTTACTGAATCGTTATACTGAAATCAAGTATCACTTGTAAGTTAGCTAGAGGAAAATGCATGATAAAATGTTCTAACAGTAAAACGTTTATGTTTATTTATAATTTCAAACAGTGATATTGTTATATTGCATTATTATGTACTCATCAGTGACTAATCTATTGAGATATTTCCCTAAGTTGTAGTGAAATTTAACCACATTTGGTTTGAGGCGGTTACTTCTGAAGATAATGAAAGATGACTATGCAATATCACGAGTTAGTTGAAATTACACAAGTTGACCGTTAAATACTAGTAGAATACTCTAAAGATTAAGCGCTCGTAGAGCGACATGAGAGTTCTGAGTTCGATCACCTGTGGCGGTGAGGTCGTGGATATACACTGTTTAAAAGTCTCACATTAGCATCAACCAACTGTCTAATAGTTCCTGGTTTTTCAGCAACACAAACAATTACCCATCGAATTAATCTGACAACTAATTATTAGCAATACTTCATTATCCAACTATAGTTATTTAAGGATATTGTCTTTTTCTTGATAATAATCCACTGTAATAACACCCTGATTGATAGTTTAATATACACGAAGAATTAGCAGTACTGAAAGAGTATCATTATTTTATTTAATTGATTATTTTATTATATGAAGACTATATAAAACTTTATTATTGTAAATATCACATCTTTATCTAATCACTGACTTACTTCAATGCATTCTTATAAAGTTTCTCAGTGATATACCAACTGCATAAACTATTTTCAAAACTCAGATAAAATTTGTAGTTCTGACGAATCAATTTAAAACAATCAGGTAACAAAGGATCATTTATCAAATTCCTAGAACATACTTTTGTACCACACTTGCCATATATATCAACCTGTAAATAAAAGAATTCAAAAGTTATACTAAGATCATTCAATATGTTGTAAACTACAATATCATAAATGATCATTTGATCCAATCAGTTACAAAAAAGCACTTGTTAAAACATTATTTCACAGGACCAAAAAAGTATTATGTAATTCTGATACATCACAAAAGGAACTAATGAATGTGAGTAGATGTTTAAAGAACAACGGGTACCCAGTGAAGCTTGTTGAAAAATATGCTAAACATGAAGATAAAAAACCCAAAGAAACTACAGTAAACAAAGGTGATGATATCACAGGGTCAATCAGTTTGAGACTAAAACCTTCATTGACAAGAATTTATCTTACAGCTAAACTGATTGTCCTGTCCAAAGTAACATTTTCTTTAACACAATCAAAGTTCGATAGGTATCCCTTTCATATTACCACCAACTGTGTATACAAATTTCTATGTATCTGCCAAAGCGGGTACATTGGTAGGACAGAAAGAAGAGCCTACTGCAGATTCAAAGAACATAATCCGAAAAGTCTAAACTCAAATCGATTAAAAGCATTCAATAGTGCCATCTCAAAACGTTTCCTTGATAGAGAACATCAAGTCGATACACTAGTCATTCAAGGTGATTAATAAACGACCAAACTCCAATCTTCTGAAATTTACCGCAACGACAGCGATCAAACGTCTAAAACTAGATCCACCTATGCAAAAAGAATTAGTAAAAAACCTTTCTTTGGCCTGGTAAAATTTCATCCTTTTTTATTGCATCATTCATTATTTCAACTCTTTCTGAAGTTTGGTTACATGAGTGTCATTTTTCCTCAATTCATATCTTTCTTCATTCCATTAGTCTATTTTCAGTTGCTTCATTACATAATCATCTAATGTTTGTTAACTGTGAGTTCTAATCTCTATTATAATGTTTTGGAACTTTCGCTCTCAAACTTTGTTTATTTATCTGAAACAAACAATTTTTTAATGACCTCATTAACTCTATTGAAATCTCCACTACATCATAATATACTAGTGACTGGCTTCAACAGGTATTTTCTGGAATTCTAGTGAGAAGCAATGACCAATGAAGTTCAACCGAGTGTGTTGTGAGAAAGTAACTCACTGAACAAAATGATGGGTGTTTTGCTCGATTTCGTGGATTGGTTGAAGCTAGATATTAACACCGTTGGATGGCAGCCAGCTCAGCAGTCTAAAGGTTAAGCGTTTGCGCGCGAGACCGATAGGTCCTAGGCGTGATCGTGAATGTGCACTGCTGAGGAGTCCCACAATAGGACAAAACGGCTGTCCAGTGCTTTCAGGTTTTCCTTGGTTGTCTAGCTTCAATTGACTCATGAGTTCAATTATTGAATTCATATTATTCTGCACAAATCTTCCTTCTTGCTCTCTCTTTAAGATAATCAACGGTGTTATGTGTATGAAATTAACGTTTTGTAACAGATGAATGATTGATCTACATAAAATAAGAAAACTCTATATTGCCTAGTCTGATTCCAACTAGCTAGTTTACTTTACTTATATTAATTTTCAGTATAGGGGTTGTGGAGATTATTAAGTTTTTGATTAACATCATGAACTGAGTGATGTTAGACCACCATTAAAAACGTGGAAGCACTGAACTGCCATTTCGTTCTATTGTGGAACTCCTCAACAATGTGCATCCACGATCCCGCTCGGGAGGTTCGAACCCAAGGCTTTCAGTTTCACGCGCGAATGCTTAACCTACTGAACCACTGAGCCGGCATCCAATGGTGTTAATGTCTAGCCTCAACCAATCCACGAAATTTCGCGACAATCATCCATTTCATTGAAGTAGATACCTGTCTCTACCCGACAACGATTGGCTCCACTGGTCATGGCTTCTCACTAAACCTCCGAGAATTCCCTTACGAACCCAGTCACTAATGAGCACATGAAAATTATTAGTATTAATTCATTTTAAAATTTACCTATAATCCTAATACAAACAGAGAATAAAATTGAAAGATTCCCTTTTATAATGATGTTTGTTTTATAAATAAATTCGAAATTGATACGTTAGTTTATTTTACTTGACCAATTCTTTATGTATTTCTTAATGTTAATAAATTATTAAGTGGATATTGTTATGTTTTCTTCTTTTCACGCGTATAAACTATTCACCTTGACCTTGATTTGTTTATATTCTTATTGTTTTTATTGGTAATCACCATGGTATTCAAATGTGCCCAGTTTAATTTCCTATATAATAGGTCGGAATAATCAATAATAATAAAATATACACATTAAACTTACATTTCAACTATACACCCTACTTGTATGGAATTCTTTATATATCATGACTTTAAATATTCACTCTTTCTTATTGAGTTTATTATTATCATTATTATTATACTGAATTAGTATAAATTCCTTTGATATTATTAGAACGGAGGTTTTATGGAGATTGTAGTAATTTCAACAGTTGAATTCATGAGTCAATCTAAGCTAGGTCATCATTGAACGCCTGGAAGTAATAGGACTGGTGAGTAGTGCGCATCCACGATCCCGCATGTGGGACTCGAACCAGAGACCTAAGGCCCCACGCAACAACGCTCAGCCTCTAGACCATTGAACTGGTATTCAAAGGCATTCATGTCTAATTTCTTTGATGTTAGTAAATAGAGAGTCTATTCATGATAAATTTCATTAGTAGAAATGTTCGCTTAATATTTAAACTGTTCATATTTTTAGAAGGGGTTTGGTGGAGGTTTTATAAATTTCACGAGTTGAAATCATCAGTCAATTGAAGCTAGACCACCATGGAAGACATAGAAGCACTGGACGGACGTTTCTTCCTAGTATGAGACTCCTCAGCAGTGCGCATCCACGATTCTAAGTCAATATTTAGTAACTAATATTCAAAAAATTGACTAGTGCATTTTCATGTCGCATGTGTTTGAATGCACTGTGTCTATTTGGTATCCTTTTATCATTTTGAATTCACTTCTCAAACATTCACCGTCTGTGTCAAGAAATCATGATTGCTTAGGAAACTAAATGGATCTACGTCTTTCAATTAACAAAGTAAAACGTTCTTGTTATTCGAAGCTAAATTGCATAACACTTACCGAGATATATTTTGAAAGTTCCTCAGCATATTGTAGTCTAGGACTTTTAGCTGCACAGTTACTCACAAACCATGCTACTTTTTTCGATTTGCCAGCAGCAAAATTTCGAGAAGGCAGAGGATATCTTGTTTTTGGTCCATGATACTTTAAATACGGTTCATAGTAACCGTATGGTGAATAAATCGTTGAATCAAAACGATAGGATATGGTAAAGTTAACCTGAATATCAGTAACAATGTTTAATGAAAGTGCCTAATGCCATACGTATTAAATAGTAGTAATAATAATAATAATAATAATACTGTGTTCTGAAAATTAGTACAGATTACACACCGATGTAAAAAAATGATCTGGCTGATACAATTCCCTAACACTTTCTAGAAGAAAATGAACTACAAATTATTTCAAAGTGAGGATTTTCTACAACTCTAATGAAAAGTGGAGAATTCTGAGTAAAATGAGTACATTACAATATCAGTATTCGTTTACATTTCATAGCAAAACAGGTATAGCAAGCATCAAGTTTTCGTTACTATACAGACAACTGATAGTAATATATAGATTTACCAATCAGTTGGTGCACTGTAAGTAGATAATGATTATTATTACTAATTCATGATATTATATTTGATTCAATGATTAATTATTAACATTTGGAACCGAATCATTATTAGAAAGTGATTTTTTCGACAAAAACCATTAAAGCAAAGAACAATTCTTATAGACACATAGGGACAAAATGTACAGATTTACACATATCACTTACTACGGTTAGACAACAAGTGAAAATAGGCAGACATTCAACAATTATTTACTCCATGCATGTAACTCCACAGAAGCATTTATCCGCGACCAGACCAAGGATCAAACCGAGCATCTTCCGGACTCTCAGAGATCATTCATTATTCAAACCACTGAGTTTCATTTAATTGGTTTGCATTTCTAACTTCAGCTAGTCAGACAAATCGCGAGCTCATCATCTGTTGTCACTTGTAACATTTGCTTCGCTCCCAACATGATTTAACTCCAGTCATTCCTACAAGAACCTAACGAATCACGTATTGCAGTTAACTGTAAGAAAATGATGATCATTAATCGTTTTCAAGGCGTCTGACTGAAGTCAGTCTGTGACGTTAAACTGCAAACTTCACAATCTCTACAAATCTTTGGAAATCAATGACAATGTCACCTACAAATTCCGGAGTTGTAGTATTAGTAAAACCTTAAACTCAAGTAAGATTTACGTTAAATTATGTGATTACTTTTAGTCAGGATTATAAACATTGTTCGTTAGAAATGTCATAATTACATTATCAAGTAAACTATGAACACTGAAACTGTGAAATAACACTATGTAGCCAAATCAAAGAAAAAACTATTTTAAGTCTATGTTTATTTTTAAAGTGAGAGTATCTGATAATTCTAAGAATTACATCGATCGCAGTTTATGATTTTGTAAAACAATGCATTGCGTTTCTGTTAAAACTAGAACAATCGATATGAATGAGATGGTAGATTCGTAGCTCAGGTGAATGATTTGGGTGGAGTTTTGTTCTCTCAGCTGGATGATTTGGTTACAGAGCTTTCATTGTTCTTCTGAACAATATCATCAGTACAAATTTCAGATATAAGTGGAGTGTTCGAATTTCTCTACATATGACTCACAGCTTATCCTGTCGAACTCGATCTTGATTGATTGTTATTGACTTTTAACCTGTTACTTTGTACCTTATTGTTTTGGTTGTATCGCCTATTTGTTTGACCAAACCATTCAGCTCAGAGAACAAACCTCCATCAAAAATGAATGTGAATTCTATATCAGTGATCGTTAACAGCGATAGTTCAGTGAGAAGAGAAAATTTGAAACTTCGGGAACAATTTAAGAAATAAATAAACATATATATAGCCAAAACTCAAAACACATGAAGTCACAGATTCAGATTATAATCCATTCGATTTGATCTAGTAAACAAGGTAGTAGGATCCACGCTGAAAAAGTGAAGTAAAATGACAAAGGTACGAATTCGTACTTGTTTGTAGTTCTTTAAATTTGTAACTGGTCGGAATTTAACTGATATTCACCCGGTGTTTAAAATGACAGTATTCCTCTACATTCATTGCTTCTTGTTATACGAATTCATTCAGAAACTGTTCATTCGGATCAAGTATCTATCAACAGACATATCAAAATCGAATCAGTCTATCAATCAGCAAGGAGAGGGATAGATAACTATAAGGTTAATGAACAGATCAGACGTGAAAACAACAAATACATACCTATGAACAACAGTCAATTGAATTCAACAGAACAAGCAGGTAGTCAATGTTGAAGAAATGTTAAGTAGTCACATACCTTAAAGTATGTTTTGATGATATGGTCCAGAAAAACAATGAAATATTTTAAGGATTAAATCATTCATCATGAAGAATGAAATCACTTCAAAAGTCTTCGGAGCCTTACCAATCTAATGTATTGACAGAACACATTTAAGTTGTTATGATTTTATGTCCGGCTTTTTATCACGTGACCTATCCACCTATCAAAATACGACTTATACAATCTTCGCACTATGCTAAGCCAATGACGTTCGACCGGTATGAGCAGTCTAGAGTCCTTATTGGTCCTATGTCCGTCTAGCCCGTCCGCTTCACTCCAGAACACAACACCAGCTTCTCCAATGTGAATCATTTATTCCAAACATACTCGGTTTATATGTCAACCAGACAAACCACAACGTACCATAAAATAGAAAATAACATTTGTACACAATAGAGCCAAAACGTGGCTGTGAATGAGGCAGATAGTAATTAATAGACAGGCCATAACTCAAGAATGATAAATTGTATAGTAATAGTCTATGGGTCAAATTAAAGCTTATAATAAAAAGAATATAAATAGATATAATCTTATTATTGAATAATTATATAATAAGAATATTTATGGAATGTTAGCCTATTAATAGTCCTCTAAAGTTACCCGTAATTCAATCTTCACTGGGATATAACGTAAGTAGTGTTGATTAGAAATTATTTTGCTGATATTCTATATATTTGCCTGATACATTAATGATTATGACTGAAGTCAACATGAATTAGTGACTCTTTCAGTTATACTCTTAGTAATTGTCTAATTAAATTCAAGCAATAATCATATTAACATGTTGATATTTTTGACTTGAAGACATTTCATTCAGTAATTGAAACTAATTAGACAACTCAAAGTTAGAAGAGTTAATTCATTTGAATTTGCTTAATGGTACTTAACCATGGTGCCTAATAAGGGATGGGATGCATTGGTATGAGTGAACACCATTATATCTTGTTCACACTGATAACTTTCACAGCAATATATAGTAGATCTTAATTTCCTGAATAGATCTGTTGTCAATTTCATATTTCTTTATCAGATTATTGAAACATTCATCGTAAATCAATGGAATAATATAAACCACCATAGAATGTATACAAGTCAATAGATAAATGTGTATACAAAAAGAATATTGGATGATCAATGAAAGAGTTTTCAATAGAGCTTTTTCTATTTCTATAAACAAATTAAACTAATACAAACTGCTGTTGACGTTTTCCACTATTAGTTTAATTTGTAATAATGAAGTGTTATTAAACTATTTTAAGAATCATTATCTATAAACTGAATCACTATACTATGATTACGTTTTAGTTATTCTATATTATAAGTTGTACAATATGTCTCACTTCATTTTCTAGTGTGTTTGCCAATGATATATGTTTAGGAGATTCATGTGTTAGACTAAACCATAATTGTCCATTTGGTCGAATTCCATTTGGTTGTTCATCTTTTGTTAAAATAAGTGCATCAGCTTCACGCCATCTTTCCATTCCGGTGATAAGTGTACATTTTGAAGCATAACATTTAGAAAATTTCTTTGGTATATAAATTTTCTGAGATCCATAGCTGAGAAATGTTTTCACCTAATATGCAAGAAAAATAGTAGTATGTGGTTCATGTCTATATTGTCACATGTATTCAATGTTTCAAAAGATGGTGTGAATGAACATCCTAATACTGATGTATACATAATATAGCTTCATCAATCAATTATATTACTGAAGTACATCTACCTCAGTCGTAGTTCAGTCACTAAGACTGTATTCAGACAAATTCAGTTTAAATTTGCTGCCTAAATATCTCTTTATATATTACAGAGATGTTGGTTGGATTTTATACCTTACTAAAATATTCCTATTACAATGTAAATGTAGCTGATTTTTCTACTGTTTCAACTAATATCTTCCAATGAAATTTACTTTGAAATATATATTACATTTTATGATTGTGAATACAATCATCTTGAGTACTGTTAGGGGTATGAAGGTGGTTTTCACTTCCCGGTTGCCCACACCGTGGACGAGTTCTTTTAGAGGTACCTGAAGAAGAAATGGGGTTGGACAAGGTCTAAGTGACCTGAGAGCATAATCACAGTGCCCAAGGGACAACTGCATGAGGTCGGTCACACACAACCTTTTTGTGAGTAATTTTCGTGTTAGCTCAGGACTTGTTGCGGTCTTACCGCCGGAGACGGATATCCGTATGGTAAAGCAAGGTGTGTATATTTAGGGTCGACCTCTTTTAACCCTACCCTTCATTGTGGGAAGGCAGCATCGCTGTTATCCTGGTTGTCTGAAGGAAACAATTCACCGCCATCACATCTCTGTACAAACAACAGTACGAATTCGTACTCATACTTTGAGTTTGCTGCTTTTAGCCCTACCGTTCTTCAACCGACCTCTCTGGCATCGTAAGGCCTTCAGAAAAGATTGTTCCAACCAGTATAGCTAGGTTGGTTCATCAAGACAAGCAAGCTCTACCACCATATCAAGGTAGCAGCAACGTTGTAACTGACTGATAATTACGTATTTTTCCCCAAATTATGTTAAGATATCTTGAATTGTGACGTTGAACAATTGGAATAGAAATAGTAACTTATTGATTATTCTAGATGGAGTGGTACAATCAAGAGGTGAAACCGCTGTTAATCAACTTGAAGGTTTCATTAGTTCGGGAGGTAGTCTCAGTTTGCATAGAAGAGAAAGATCGCTGTAAAATACTCCAAAATGGAGTTACATAGTAAACCTATAAAGACCATTATCATTTAATCTCATTGTTTTTTTTAATAAACATTTTCATATATCAGTGTTAGATCCTCATTTCGCATTGGACAATATCTTTATTAGAAACAAATACATTGTGAGAACAAGCAACGTAAAATATGATATCATTAGATTCATTAGGAATTAATGAATCATTACGATCATCAGCATCCCATATAACATCATAAGAAATTTGACCAGAAACTGATTCATTTGAAACATTTGTGCCATAATGATTTTCGATTTCACTTGATGTGGCTAGATACTTAGAATGTGTGGAACCTGATAAAAGAACATTTGAACATTGGGTGGAGTTTATCTTATTACTGCAGTAAATCTATCAGTTATCTCGTTAAATAGATCTATAATTTTTGAGTTCGATTCCGGATTTAATTGTTTGAGCATGTATTCCTTCAATATATTGATAAGCGTTAAACGGGATTTAATAACCACATCTTCATCAAATTGAAGCATTGATTTTAATTCTTACATTTTGTAACTGCAGCATTTGTTGTAAACATGATTTAATAAAGAGCGAAAGTTTATTTATAACCGAAAACAGAATTTGAGGGCAAATAGAGTTGACTGAGTTATAACTGGAACTAGATAGTTCAATTGTTATGGCTGTTTGTTATCCGAAATCACCGTCACCACTTGTCATATCCGCATCAGTTATTACTTATACTCAAAAGAAAGAACCACTACAATTTCCACGAGGCAAAAGTAAGAACATGGAAGGCTGATACAAGCAAAGATTTACTAACTCTAAAACACGACGACAACCCTAATAGAAAATGAACTCATTTATATATTGATTTGTATAGATATTTGAACATAAGTTAGTAAAAAAATGTCACATATATGTTATTATAACAAAGTCGCACATTGCATGTCGTGCTGAAAATAGGTTACGTCAATTTAATGCAAGAATATCGTATCTTGAATAAACTTCATACTGAAGTCTATATTTTATTTATTTGAACATAAATATTGGTACAAAGGGGCGACGAATACATATGCACCACACGAGTCACTTGATTTGTGTGTGGGTTATGATACTTCCTGGGTGCCCAAACCGAGGCAGGTGTTTTGCTTAGGGAGCCACACCCGGAGCCTCCAACCCTAAGGCCTGATCCACAAAGAAGTGGAGCAACTTTAGGAGATGCAGTCCCATATTCGTTAGTGACCAATAATTGGTTCATACGCCATTTGTTCCTTCAAGATACTGGAGCCCATGTACACCACTGGTTTGTAATCAGGGTCTTCCAACTCCCTTATGTGGATCTTCCAAATACACCAACCCCGGTTAAAGGAAATCCTCTGAACTTTATCGAGATCATTTGCATTCGTCTCAGCAGAATGCATTCAAGACTTAGTGAAAATAAAAAGCAAAAAAACGAATTTCACATATTTCTCTGTTATATCATCAAACTTCTCGAGTCAGAAATCTTGGTATATCATAATACAATTGAAGACATGCTAGAAAAATACAACATCTAAGCCTGAACAAAGATCAATTAGCAGTCAAACGCCATGACATATTCTCAGTTATAACAATGCATTTGAACAACTGTGGACACACATTCGACTAGAAAAACGGTGAGATATTGGAGAGACAATTCTAAAAGTACCAGAGAGTTTTTAGAAGCTTGACACTCAGTTCAATCAGCAATCAACAAACACATTGAAATCTGTCAAAACCATCGACCAATTAGAATAATCATGGACAAATATAGGATCAAGAATCAAATTGATGGCAGATAAAACCAAATTAAAGAAGAAGCAATGACAGGGTCAACGACAATCAATCAACATCGAGTTCGACAGGATAAGCTGTGAGTCATATGTAGAGAAATTCGAACACTCCACTTATATCTGAAATTTGTACTGATGATATTGTTCAGAAGAACAATGAAAGCTCTGTAACCAAATCATCCAGCTGAGAGAACAAAACTCCACCCAAATCATTCACCTGAGCTACAAATCTTCTCCATCATCTCAAATACAACAGTATATTCAAAAAAACTGAACAAACAGAAACAGTACCACTCTATTTCGAGCCAAAAGAAATTTTTATTTTTTTTATTTCAATGGTCAACTTACTGAATTATTTTTACTTAATGAGTCATATAATCTCTTCACTCTGTTTTCTTCTACATCAAATCTCAGAGAGTGATTTTGAATGGAAGTTTCATTAATAGTAGAATACATTTTGTGCAATCTCATAGCCAGGTTGAACTCTGAAGAGTTTGAAGTAAATATATTTCCATCAATCAGTTGCATATTATCTGATAAGAATGTGTAACTTTCATTGTATATACCATGATAGAGTAAACTTGGTGAGATGTTGATCAACCATATGATGAAAAGGGCAATGAGTATGAAGCAAATGGCTTTAATTCTAAGAGTCCATTTATCACGTTGCGCAATCATAATGTAAATGCCAACCACGTCAAACCCCTATGAGATAATTCAGTACAGATTCAAAAGATGACAGATAAAAGGATGATGAGAGTATGTTAAGTAATAAATTTAACAAGTTAAACTAGTTTCACTACTAGCTAGGATGGATTGATCACTATAACTAGATGGTCAGCCAGTCACACATAACCCTGATTTACTACGCGTTATTCACGAACAAAACCCATGGTTCCTTCGTTTGACAGAAGATCAGATGGAGAGCATTCGCTCTTTACTGATGTAGGGAGCTGCAGCTTTTGTAATAACCGATCTTGTCTACGGAACATTATGAAAGCGAATCATCGCACAGTAGGTCTGCAGTATGCATTGGCGTGTGTTCAAATAGTCTACATTTCCAGGTTTTGTTCAATAGTTTTCATAATGTTGACTAAATGGGTAGTTTTGGTCACTTCGCAGTGTACAACATCAAGCTGGGAGACAAAGCACAGACTCTGTAATGCTTTTTCTTCTGTGAATACAATCAGAAGAAAATAACTTGCCAGTTTACAAACATCACAGGAATTGACGGTACTCATAAATCCTTTAAAGAACGAATCTCAATCTACTAGTTGGTGGCATTGGATACAGTCACTGTGTTAGCATTTGCGTGCATAGTCCATGCAATATAATGACACTGTTAACTGAATAAGTCTCTATGAAATACGGTGGGTGTCGTATAACTTTATCATTGTTAAGATTTATGTAACATTTTATTTTACTCAGCTGTAATATATTCTTTTCAGTTGATAAAATTTCTATTATAGTACCAATTCGTCAAACCAAATTAATTATCCGCGTGTCATGAATTGAATATATTCATTTAAAATATTCATAAGGTGTGAGGTAACCTTCCGAAAGCATTCTTACACTTCAATGATTATTACATGTTGTAAGCCCAAATTATGCTTACTATATATATTTAACGACAAAGGCTTATCCAGTATAAAAATTCATCTTGAGTGTGAAACATTGGTATGGCAAAACAGGGACAATGAAGTCTGAGACAATTAATGAACATTATGTAAATTAAGTATTAAAGTATGATTTTTCTATTACATTAAGTAACTCTGTATTCTCATGCCAAGTATGATTCGATTGTCCTTACCTGTGTTCTCCTTCATTACAATATATTTAGTAAATATGTAACAAGTCATTAGACTACTTGTATGTACTTAAATTGTCAGTACCATGTTTCTGAGTAAACATTCTATTAGGAATTCATCAAATACAATTATTTACAATATCATGTTTATTAATTCTATACTCTTTTAGGTCAATTTTTTTAAGATTTCGAGTACCAAGTTGAAGGTGACCTTATTAACAAAACAGTTTTCATGAGAAAAAAATTGCACAATGAGTCA